GGTTGTGAGACGTCGAGGCTCCCATATTTTGCATACAGTCAGCTCACAGATGGCGGTGAGGTCAGTCTTACGCACCGGTCGCTCTTTACCCCCAGGAAGATTCCTGGTACTCATTTCTGAGGCTGAGTCGACTGCAGGGCCATGGTGCGGCTGGAAGGATCAGGTTAATTGAAAAATGCGATGACGTCATTGAGAATCGAACCCGCGACCTTCTTGTGTGTAACATAGTACCTCAACCAACTACAGTACAAGCACTAAGAGTTAACGGAATGCGTACATTTGCTAACGTCTCCCGCTTCTTTTTTGAAGGGAAAAAATTCTGTACTCTAATTGATTTTGATGATGTAGCTACTGTTGTAACGAAAAATAAAGTTAATGTTTCTGAGATGTGACACCGGTCCTTGTGAAGATATGACTCCGTGTAGTCTGTTGAATGTCAACCGACTTTTCGGAGGAGCACTGTGTTTGCTTCCTGCTACACGCTGGTTTCTTACTTAGCTTATTCTTCAACCCCGAAGATGGAGGCGACGTTTTCCTCCGAATCATCCGGTAACTTTCAGTAGATTACACGGCGTTACATATTTCAGAAGACGGCAATCTTCATACTCTGCTTATGAGTATCTCATGCGTCGCGTACTGCGGAAAGTATAGAGCTGTACGTTCTGGCGGCTTACATACTCTCATTGACGTCTGTTTTCTTAACGTCACATGACAGTAAACCCGCATGGTTGTGTCATATTGACCATATGGAATGGTCAGTGGTCTTTTCTTCCGAGCAGTGTTTCCATTTACATTGAATTTTGTATTCAAAGAGAAATATTCCCGGCATGTTCAGAACTAAGACATAATAGGACATTGTCACTTGTATCCTGGTAACGCGACAAGTAATTAATGATTTCCGGATTAGATGAATCGGTTTATTGGCAATTCACCAGGCCGAACTACAATTGGTTTTAACACTTCAGTCTTAACTGTAACTATAACAGTTCGTGACTACGAACAATGATGCCACCACATAAACGAAAGACATCAATTCTGACTTCCGACTCTGTCCTCTTCTGTATTCTCTCCAGAGTCAAAATTATGTGACCGACGGTCAGTCGAAATCTTGGAATAAAGCACCCATCTGGGGCATAAGACCAGACCTTTATTACTGTCAGACGGTTAAGAGTTTGTTTATGTGAGGCTTTCTCTCTGGCAAAAGGACGGGTCTTTCGTTTGTCAGAGCCACAGTCAGCAGTAATAAGTTTGTTGTCACATTACACAATTTGCATTTTACATGTTATTATATATACTGTCGCATTTCCTAGGTAACGCGACGAGATGCGATGGGTTTCTGATTAGACGGATGTTTATTTGACAATTATTTGTTTACACTCACAAATATAATTACTCAGTAACGTTGCTAGGTAACAGCTCTCAACAGTGGCTGTTCCTCTGCAGTGTTTTCAGTAGACGTTTCCTGGTAACGAATCTTAACACTGGAGATTCTACATCTTCCGAGGCCACGCCGTTGCCCGCTGGTTAACACTCCACTTTTGAACTCCTTCACTGAACTGCCAATTTAACTCATAGCGCCGTCTTTTCAGCCTCCCTTGCAGAGCCCAACTCTCGACTAACTGCCCACTACTGAGTCTGAGTCTAACGTTACGACCGACGGTCAGTCAGCCAGTCTGTCTTGGAATAAAGCACCCATCTGGGACTTACGACCAGATTTTTATTACTGTCGGACAGTTTCGGGCTTGTTGATGTGGAGCGCCCTCTCTAACGAGAGGACAGGTCTGTCGTTTACAATTGCTGCAGGCCCTCTCCAGTGCAGTCTTTCTCGGGTCCGTTTCCCATGGGACTCCATACCATATTTTACTCTCAGATTCCAGACTTCCCTTTCGTCGCCTCCTGCGATTCGCAAGGGTATGGTGGAGGTATTCGGCCCTGCCTCCACATGGGCCTGCCACTTCTAAATACACTGTGACTAGAGAGAGAGAAGAGAGAAGAAGTGGGGGTGGTAGTGAGAGACACTACATTGGGTGGGGGTGTGGGGCAATTTGCACGGACTGAATATAAAACACCGTTTCCAGCAATACCCCTATTGTAGGCGTGTTTACCGATCCGTTGCTTAGAAACTGGTAGCGTAACCCCGTTCTGCTGTTGCTGGCGTTGCGTAGCGACGGACGCTGTTATCAGATCACCACTTAGCAATGGGTCTGTTCGCCACAGTATTTTTACCTGCCATCTGTTCTTGCTGTAACAGGACTTAGTGACGCTTACCTACGCAGGACACCGTAGTCTGGAATAAACATTAGCTTTTGTTAAGTCCTACCGCTAAGGATCCGAGATAGCTGAGTCGCTTAATTATGGGTTGGACGGCTGGGGTTTGATGCCCGGCAAGGCAGTGTATTTTTCTGTACTCACTCCAGACAGGCTTTGGGACTCACCCAGCCTCCTAGCCAGTGGGTACCGGGGCTAAAGCGGCCGGGGCATGAAGCTGACCATTCACCATATAGTTCCGAGGTGAAGAACAATAAAGCCATACTTCCACTGTCTCATAAATCTTAATGGCCTGGTGCTTAATTAATTAATCACGCTGACAACTTCTCTTTTATAACCTTAAGTTCAAACGCTGCTGCCCTGAATAGTAAATGGTTATACGGACTGTGAGTTCGGCATAGCGTGATATCTTTCCCTTCGTCTGCTCTCTGCTCAGAGTAGATCTTAAAGAAACAGGATGAGTACGCATAGACTGCATCGCGCTGGCGGTCGGGGCGTGAAGCTGGTATGTGTTTCATGGCGTTGCGTTTAATTAAGGACAGGAACGGCTTTGTTTGCCGGCCCCCGGGTGTGTGATACCCCCTTCTTGCTTCAGTCAAATGCCCGCATATGCCGTAAATGTGTCACGACCACTTCCCACGCTCCCAAATCTTTCATAATGCACAACCATCCTACCACACGTAGTCACATAGTAATCGTATAGTTGCTTTGATGCCTCATGCCTCTAACTTGATAAAATCATATTTCGAAAATTAGTGGATGGTTTTCGGAATGCGAAACCTTAATGAATAGTTCAGTATTAGGAGACATACTACTGCGGCCACTTCGGTCTATTGTACCAGCCCCAGATGATAGGTGAAGGTGATTGTGGAGCAATTGGTGGAATGAAGATTGGCAGGGGAAACCGAAGTACTCGGAGAAAACCTGTCCCAGAGCCACTTTGTCCACCACAAATCCCACTTGACCAGACCCGGGATCGAACCCGGGCCGCCGCGGTAGGAAGCCAGCAACTAACCGCTTGAGCTATGGCGCGGCCCATCATTTCATGTATACTGCAAGTACATGGGTGGGTGTGTTGTGTGTGGAAACTGTAGGTAGAAATGGGAATTGCCTCTTTTGAACGTTCGTCCGTTTTGTTGCATTTGAGATCATACAGAATGGTGTGCGGCTGAATATTAATTCAAGGGCAAATTGTTGAATGTTCGTGGGAGAACGCGAGTGGATGGGGATGTCAGAATAATAGCCATCAGTCATAGCCAGCCACGTTGTGACTGTAAAATATTATTTTCTTAACTGGTGCGTGCCTCGTTTTGATATTGTGGAATGATACCTGAAGGCTGGAATATTCGAGCGAGAGAAGACGTACGTTTCTATGTAACGGTTCCGTAAACAAATTGCCGTGGTAACGGATATGATTTCAACAATAGAGGAACTGTTTGCAAGTTTTCTATGTTGTCCGTGCTGGAATTATATAAGAGAAGTCAGTCGTCAGTTTGGAAACCGCTACCAGGCGACTGGTGTAGAAGACATAGCAGACTGAGGAAACTTGGAAGGTGCTGTAGCTATTTGGAGCCTGTGGAGAAGAGTGAAGGCGTCGTTGCTGTTTGTAGGTATGAATAATAAGCATCCAGTAAATTATTCACGCAGAATTCCGTCTATAGTCACAAACACGCGACAGTCATATGACGAGTTAGATTGTATAGACAAGCTTTGCCGAAAACATTTCCCGTAGATTGCTGCATCGCACGGTGCATGTTGCTCTGACAAGATTATCATCTTGGTTTAAATGTGTGTGTCTTGCCAAAAGTTGAAAAGAATGACTGAAGTTGGATATTTTGACTACATGGTCACTGACAATTTTCTGTTCAAATATTAGTTCTAAATAATAGAATGCATAGCTAAAAGGCGAATTAGTCCCTGTGCTTTAAATAAATAAGAACTACTGAAAGAATTCATGTGAGGGGTGCAAGTTTAACTCCGTCATTCTTGATTTCGACTCTACATGGAGGTGAGTGGTCAGCTTCACGCCACAGCTGCTTTACCCCCAAGTGGAGAGCCCCGGATACCAATTTGATATGATTACATTGACGAAAACAAAACTATAAAATAAATGTATGTTAAACTTGGAGGACTCGTATGCTCGTAACGTTGCAGGAGCATTAATTGGAGTATGAAGGCGATAGACCCGAATATAACGAGAAACAAAACGAAAGAAATGGATGATTACAGGGGGACAGGATGTATTATTTGAGCGTGGGAGTGACATGCTCCCAGAACTTGGCCACACTGTTGTGTCTGAAGCTATTTTGGGGCTCCATCTCCATCAGATTCAAATGAGTTATAGCGTCGTGACTTTTAGGAGAGATCCCAGCTTTTTCGGAGCAGCATTGCCTCTTATCATCATGGCCGAAGAGTGAGCGAAACAAGAAACCAACAGTAGCAATCTGCTAGTTAAACTCAGCACTCTTGGTTCCTTACTTTTCGGTCGTGAAGATGGAAGCAATGTGTTCCTCCGAAACGCCGCGCTTTCTGCTACCCACACGGCGTCACAGCCCAGAAGTCAATACTGTTCACGTAGTGACGTGGATCGTTTCGTCATGACAGCCTTGAGCCCACATTTAGACGAGACCGGTTCAGTGTTGCAGCTCGTGTTTGAATGTCCGTATGACGTGGCGGTGTAAGTACATTTGTTTATGTATGAAATATCTCACCGATGGCGTTTGTTTTTGCAGATCATCTTTGATTGCTTGGCCGGCCGCTAGAGGTCACCACTACGGGCAGCGATCATGGTGGAGTACTACCGGATCCTAGAAGTTTCTCGGAACGCGTCCACAGCAGAAATAAAAAAAGCGTAAGTATTCTACATTTACAACCTCTTTATTATATCCGTCACAACACAACCAATATCAAGATCAGGCAATTTTCGGCCCTGCTACATGTTTCGGCTATTGGTAGCCATCATCAGGCAAACGCATGATTTACACACATATACACACCACTGAACCGCAGCACCAACAAGATCGGATACAATATTATTAAAATATATAAAATCACTTGATGTAAAAAATACAATAAATCAAGTTATATAAAACAGAAATCTGATATAAAATAAGAATAAAATTCTTTTGGTGTTTTTACATCAACGTGTCAGTCGTTGGTTTGTGATTTGCTTTTTGTTTCGTTCCCACGAACAAGTTGGAATATTCATACTTAAGCGTATATAAAATTGTGTATGAGGCTCATATGTAGACGTAGTAAAGTAAATTATAATATTAGTCAGTGCCTCATCTCACAAAGTATTGTCCGTACTGTAGGGAATGTAAACAACGGCCAATTACATTGAACATAATGGCAAATGGTTTAAACAAAATGGTCTTGCTATGGGAGCACCAACTTCAGCAATTCATGCCGAAGTATATATAAAAAAAAAGAGTCGTCGTTTACATTCCCTACAGTACGGACAATATTTTGTGAGATGAGGCACTGACTAATATTATAATTTACTTTACTACATCTACATTACGAGCCTCATACACAACAATAGATTTATTTTTGCGTAGTCCTTTTTTCAACAATAACTATTGTTGTAATGGTATGTTTACCCATCCGTTGCTTAGAAACGGGTTGCTTAACCCCCTTGTGTTGCGGATGTTACTTAGCAACGGGTCTATACTCCACATTATATAATATATACAAGGTATCTGTCAGTCTCGGCTTGGTACAGTAGATTATGCCCTAATTCGTGTAGCTCATGCTACAACGGCTGCCTAGTCACTTGAACGCTCGTACGCTTGACAGCTGCTAAGTTTAAGCCTCATATGTTTTATGAGTCAGGCTTCTCCTTTTCCGATGTCCGAACATTAGCATTTTCGTGATTTTGTACGGCCTCTGCTCGTTGCCTGCACGATTTCGTTATGTAATCATACATATACAGTACATGGGAAACCGTGTGTAACTCGCTGACCGGTGCGCGCCATAAACATTTACCAGTGGTGCGGTGAATTTTGTTTTGCAGACGCTTCGATTTCTGACGGCGGTACCTGCCACAAATTCCCAGGCGGGGCAAGTATAAGTAATTTCTGATGTAATTAGTGCTTTATGGAGGGTTAGATTAATTNAAAAAAAAAAGACTTAGAACACAAATAAATGGAAATTTTATGAAGAAGAAACCAGTGATCTTGGATATGGCACCGTGTATATATATATTGTGTTAACCGACGTTTCGGAGGAACGTATCGCCTCCATCTTGAGCTCGCGGATTTTTATACCATGAAGATGGAGGCAATACGTTCCTCCGAAACGTTGGTTCACACAATATCTACACGGTGCCACATCCAAGAAGACGGCATTCTTCATAGTCATCGCCGTGATAACCTCAAATCTTATTCATTCATTCATTCATTCATTCCTGATGCTTCCACTTGAGGCATAGGGCATCCTTGAAACGCTTCGTTTCAGTTCAGTTTCTTAATCTTAAGACAGTCGGTAGGACGCCTTGGACGGGAGATCAGCCCGACGCAAGGCCGCTACCTACAGAGGACAACACAAACATCCATGCCTTGGGTGGGTTTCTAACCCGCGATCCCAGCGTTCGAGCGGGCGGAAACATTTCATGGCTTAGACCGCGTGGCCACTGTGATTGAATGGGGAATAGACTCTAATAAATGCTCTGAAATATTATTGGATCTCCGAACAAGAAAGATAGCCCCTTCATAGTCGCACGCATCTCTGCCTTGTTGGAACGACGTTTCGAGCAGTATCTTCTTCAGTAAGGTGTCCGAGGAATGCATAGACTGTGCCATTAACGGTGTGTACGAAGAAAATTGGCCGAACAGTCGTACGGCGAGACATTGCACACGAGCACTCCAAACAGTCTTGACGGGGGAAGGGAAGTTTCACGGTCGGCATGGGGATTTTCGTGAACCGTGCACGAGTATTCTGGGATTTCACATAACCTGTAAGATGGTAAGAGGGAAAAAGTCTCGTATAACATGCGAGGGTGATCCTGCACCTTGGGAAGCAACCGCTCACAGTAATGGTGTGGAGGTCTTTACAGTCCGGTGAGTATCATGCACTATGTATGGAAACAGTTGCAATGTCTTCGATGGTTTGCGACAACTACCGTACAACATCGCAGTTTGTTGTACAAGTTTGCGCAATGGCTTGACTTGCACTGTCTTTCACTAACCTCTACCGTGCTGATATCTGTACTCGACCAGCGAACACCTGTTGGTATATTCATGCCTCTCGTAGCCTTGTAGGTAGATACCAGCGTTTCCGGGAAACTTTGCTACCTTCGTCATCGGGAGGGGGGGGAGGGTGTTATCCTTCCATCTACACTTAAGTATTCCATCTGTGCTCTTTCCGTTTAGATATTGAACAATCCTGCCCCTAAACTGACACACAAAAGCATAGTCATCTTAAAGTCGCGGGTTTGATTCTCGATGACGCCATTGGGTTTTTAAGTTGACGTAATCCTTCCAGCCGTACTATGGCCCTGGGATCGACACAGCCTGTAACAAGAATGAGTACCAGCACTCTTCCTGTGGGGTAAAGGTGCGGCCGGCGCGTAAGGCTGACATCCTCACCGCCATCTTTGAGCTGATTATGTAAAAAAATGTGGGAGCCTCGACGTCTCACAACCCTATGGGCCTCCACGGCCTGTTACAGGGATAACTTTACCTTTTACCAGTATTTTATACATCTGATATCCATCATGCGTGTTGCCGTCTTACTTTGTATAGCTTCAGTTTTTTTTTTAGTTTTTTTTTTTAGTTTTTTTTTTTTTGCGTATCTGATATCATACCGAGAAATACACGGCCTATGGAGCAAGTTGGCTCGAGCTGTATCGCTTCGGGCTCGTATTCGAGAGAAGCTGGGTTCGAATCACAGGCAGGACACCCTACTATCCTGACAGGGTTCCAAGGTTTCCTTTAGTTACTCCAGGCAATAACCAAAATGATAACACAATTTAGGTTACGATCGCTTCCTTCCAAATCCTTTACTAATTCATTATTCATATTGTAGCGTATAGACCCATTGCTAGGTAACAACTGCGAAACAACGTCCGCTGCTAGGTAGCATCTTAACGAGCAACAAACTGCAGCAGTGAGGAAAGGTGTTCGCTGAGAGGTCCGTGCCGAGATGTTGTAACCAGGACAGTTCGGACCATCAGTTCAGTTGAGAGACGGTGGGCAACCGGCAGTGGCGTGAGCGCGGAAGTTGAAGAATCTTCACTGTTAGAAGCCGTTACCAGGAAACGACTATTGGAGACTGTAACAGGCTGAGAACACTAGCGTGTGTGTGTAACAGTTAACGCTGTAGTTTAGAGATTAGCAATGGCGCTATAGTTACTTCTAGTTACGAGTTGTGTGTTAAAGTGTCCAATAAATCCATTTTCCATTCCAATCCCCGTCTATAGTTACTCTAACACGTGACAATATATCATCGTACCAGTCTACGTGATGATTCCAACATGAAATAAACCACAAATGAATAAAAATACACCTCTAAATAGTATTGATAGTTGAGCAAGAGCTGTTAAATTGTGATCATTTGCGTACTTGTTGAGCGGTCGTGATCCTAGGTTCGGTTGGTACAGTATTGATTTCGAGGTGCAAGGTGAATGCGCCTGCAAGACGCAACCAGGCAACGCGACCGACCGTCTGGAGGCGAACTTGCCCACTTCTGCGTTGCTTTCCCTTATACGGGATAATTTCATGAGTTCGTTAAGACTTCTCTGTGGTTTTCGGTTTTAGGGATTTTAGTTCTGGACAGACATTTGAAGGGAATAGCCCATTAAGTATAATGACGATTCTACAGGCCGTCCGGCGGGGGCAGCGCACTGACCGCCTGTGAGGCCCATCTAGCCTCTGTGCATTGGGCACCGGGGATCATCCGCCAGAGCATGAAATTTACTACCCATTTCCATCTAGTGCCGAGGTTAATGTGCATACTCGCCACCGTACGCCTTCATGGCGTTGGGTTTTCCTTCAGACATTCTGCGACCTTACTTCCATTAGGCCACGACCACATCCCTTCCAGTTCTACCCATAATTCGACGCTATGCAGGGTGTCCCAGGAGGAAGGTCAGTATTCTGGGAGGTCAGAGTATCGGTAATTCTAAGCAATATATACACTTGGTCGGCGACTTATGACCGACTTCCGTTCTTACTCACAGGTCTAAGTCGATCTGGTCGTATGTCGGCCGTATATTTATTAACAGTATTTTTTAACCTTTCTAATCTTTTTATCATCTTTATAATTTATTTTTAAAGACTTTTATATTTTAATCTTTTTTTTTCGTAAGTGCGGGCGGTCGTAGGTCGCATAGGTCGTAAGTCGACGACCAAGTGTGTGTGTATATATACAAGTATATAGACATGTGTCCTATTCCGAACGGTTTCCGAGATAGAGCTATTTCACTGTACTCTCTACAGACGAGCAACACGCCAGGTTCTCACACGAGTTGCAGAGTGCATTGATTTTGGCGGTGGAATTCTCGAAAATTTATTANGCAACATAATCTACATAGCAGACACATATCAACGATGTAGATGTTGATAATACGAAGAATGTGACATTGTGTTTTTAAATGTTAAGTTTTAGACTGGGTTCAGTGTGGCAGCAACGTTAAGAGTATACACCTGATGATGGCCGATAGAGGCCGAAACATGTAGTGTAGAAAGAACAAGATCAAAGACATATAAATATATATTGCTTGCACTTAGGACGGAGTTTGTATCATTTATCGTGTAGAGTGCAACAGGATGCTTAAATATAATATTATTATACAAGGTAAACAATACCATCTTTGTCACTTGAACAATAGATACCGGTATTAGAAACAGTACGTAATATCTCTTTCTCATCAACAGTTTTGGAACTGTACAGTGAAATAGCTCTATCTCGGAAACCGTTCGGTATAGGACACGTGCATATACAGTTTTTCGCTTAGAATGACCGATACTCTGACCTCCCACAAATGTAAAATTTTGTATTATCACGTGTATGAGTGACTGTAGACGGGGTGTGGATTGGTGAATGAATTTATTGGCCACCTACAGGTCGTACTACAAATAACTATAACACTGTCGCTGATTTCTACACTTTACAGTTCACTGTTACACTCAGTCTGTTACTAGACGTTTTCTGGTAACTACTCCAACAATGGCTATTCATCTGCCTCCGGCTCAAATCTTTTCCTCACATATTCCTGTTAAGAACTCACTGGGTCGCTCAATTGTCTTCAAGGTAATTCCTCGTCACTGGCCACGCAGAAACACCCTGATGCCCAGAACGTCTCTGGTATATTCGCCCATCTCGCGGTCGTCGCATACTAACAGTCCTACGAGCCACACTACAGAGATAGGTGCTAACATACACAAACACAATATGTTAAATTTATCATTCACTAATTATAAAACGTGGCAGCGGTGCGAAGTTTTGAGGCCATCTTGATGAACATTGAATGTGGTAAAATATAGCTGCTTATGCGCAACTGTGGTGCTTGTGGTATGCAGGAACTTATTATTAGATTCAAATTTACATACCTGAATTAGACCCTAAGATAAAAAAGTTAAAGTTGTCCCTGTGCTTCAATAATTAAGCATTACACCATGAAGACGTAGGGGGGAGTGGATGTATAGACCCACATTTTCTTGACCTCGGCACTAGTTGGAGGTGAAACCCTAAAGACGCGTCCACATTACTCGCGCTCGCGAGTAATATGGACGATGTAACAAGTCACGAGACAAGCAAATTTTTAATTTTTAATTTTTAATTTAAAAACTATAGCCATTAAATTAAAATACGACTACAACCTATACACACTACGAGTAAATATACGGATCCTCACGCGCCGAAGCAACTGAAGTAGTGTGGACGAAGATTTACGAGCACAAGCAAAAGCCAGACGATTCTCCCGACGAGCACAAGCCTGGCGAACACGAGCACGAGTAATGTGGACGCGCCTTAAAACACATGATTTGTGAGACAGGATGTCTGTACAGTAAGAAAGGCATTCTTTTTTTGTATATGTTATGCCCGGACATCTTTTTGTTCCCTCGTACTGTCTCTTCCACTGGAGTGAAGTAGTCTGTGTTCCTGGTGACGTCATAATAATAGCCGTGTTGATTTGGCAAAGCAAGAGCGTAACATTTAATTTAACCTTTTCTTCTTTCTTTTTTGCAGATACCGGAAATTAGCTCTAAAATGGCATCCTGATAAAAACCCAGACAATTTGGAAGAGGCAAATAAGAAATTCAAAGAAATTTCTGAAGCATACGAAGTTCTGTCTGATGGTAAGTGTTGCTGCATTTGTGTATAAGAGGAATATCCATGTCATGGACCTTGGCGATGGTTTATACTTCTCTGCATTTCAAGATGATCTCCGTGGCCTGTAGTCCGTAAGCGAACTATACCGACCGAGCGATCGCCGCTTGTTGGCGAAGTTAGTGCCAACTTTAGCTGATAGAGGGTGTCGCGCGGTCAGCGCAACGGATCCCCAAGGCTGTTAATCTCGGTTTTCTAGACCGGAGTCGCTATTTCCTTGAAAGAGCTCCTCACTTATCCTCATGAGGCTGAGTGACCCCATTACAGACGCACTACGTTTCAGAAAATCTGGTAGCGCAGGGAATCTAACCCGGGACCTCTGGATCTGTAGCCAGGAACTGTGACCACTAGACCACAGAGGCGGTCGCATTTCAAGGTAACAGGTCTGAAACGTCGCGAACCGTTGACATGAGGGTTCTCATCAAGTGCCATGTCGTGTCCCTACTGTTGTCGAGCCAAAGGCATATGGACGGAAGTAGCAGGCCGTGAGTGATTGGCATTCAAGATAACCTTCCATCCTTTCAGAAGTCTTCCCCAAATATTTTTTTTATTATTAATATTTTAATAGATTATTCCGCCAACATGTTCCTTCAGGTTTCCCGTTTACTGTTCTGCAATATCCCTGTAACAGGCCGTGGAGGCCCACAGGGTTGTGAGACATCGAGGCTCCCACATTTTCTAGACGGTCTGCTCACAAATGGCGTTGAGGTTTTCAGCCTTCCGTCCCGGCCGCACCTTCCTGGTATTCATTTCCGTTAGAGGCTGAGCCGACCACAGGGCCATAGTGGGGCTGGTAGGATTAGGTCAATTTAAGAAACCAGCGAACTCATCGGGAATCGAACCCGCGACCTTTCATCTTGTAGCGTAGTGCGTCAACCAGCCACGCTACCGCGTGCCCCTCCGTATTTCTGTTATTTGTGGAATTTGTGTCTTCTCTCGCCGCCTGTTCCAGTCCGAAAAAGGTGTATCCCGCACTCTTCCTTACGAAACGGGTTTTTGCTGCTCTGTCTTCTCTCATCGGTTCGTATTGTCTGTGATTCATTACGACAAGGTCATCATGATGGTTTAGCAAGTATCTTGTTGGAACCTCGTGTTCTTACGTGCCTAGATATTAGCGATGGTTTGAAGGTCTGGTTTACAATTCCTAGTATTTTACAAAATTTCGTATCTCATCTTCCTCGTGGGAAGTAATTAAAACTGGTAATTCATGCCAGTATTTTATTTTACATGTCTTAATGATGAGATGTGCCCCCTGTTGCTTGTCTTCCTCCTGTCATTGCCCCTTTTTCCCTGAAGAAGTCTTGACACTCGAATTTCATGGCAATAATTGTTACGTCAGTGCTGCAAGGACTTCTGGAATACGGAGGCTTGACGGTAGCAACCGTGTTTCTAGAGTTCAGGGAACTGCAGGAACAGAACCAGGCTGGCGTATTAAGTATCAGTATTGTCACGTAGTATGCGTGACTGTAGACGGGGTTTGGAATGTTGAACACTTACAGCTCGTAACAACAAATAACTAAGCACTGTCCTATTTCCACAATTTACAGTTCACTGGAGCACTTAGTCTAATGATCTCAGTCTGTTACTAGACGTTTCCTGATAACGGCTCTAACAGTGGCGTCCGGTTCAGGTCCTCTCTTAACAGATTCCTGTACAGAACTGAACTTGGTCTAACCTTGTCCCTTGCTTATAACTTCTCGGCACGGACCACATAGAAGACATAGTTGTTTCAGTGTAGTCAAATTGTTGCATTATTAAGAATATGGTGCCTGGCAGCGAGGACGTGTTTACTGAGCCGTTGCCCAGAAACGTCCCAGGTATATCCTCCCATCTCGCGGTCGTTGCATGGCAACGGCTCTTCACGCTACAATATTCTATTTAAAATTGCCACTGCAAGAGTGTGGAATTTCCACTTGTCAGAATATTAAAAGTCAGCATTTATGAAACTGAAACTGAAGAAGATACTGAACAATAGAGTGAAGCTAAGTTATTCTTACCGTGTTCACAGGGTCCCGCCATTGGTCTCTATTCCGAGTCAATTGAATCCACTCCACATCCCCCATGCTGTTTTTTTTTTCTAAGATCTGTTTAGTATTAACCTTCCATCCGCGTTTAGGTCTTCTTAGAGGTATGTTTTCTTACCAAAACCCTGTATACACTTCTATCATGCTTGTCTTTTTATTTAACGTGTAAATTTTCTCCATTTGAGCAGCTGTTTAGCAGGTTGGAGCCGGTTCAAGATGGACGCTTCCAACCCCGCGTGTCTGCATATACCACTAGTTTAATGGTTGTGATATGTACTTGTGTATGTGCTTGGTTTCAACAGACGCGAAACGTCGGATGTACGACGCCCGCCTGCATCAGCGATCCGCCTCTCACTCCACTAGGGCCCCACGAAACTTCAATTTCCGTGGGTTTTTTGAGTCGCCGTTCCAGCGTTTCTTTGGTATTTGAACACGAGAGATTGCATCTCCTCCAATTGCTTATGCTCCTGTTTCCCTGGATATCTTCCGATACGGCTTACTAATGACAAAACCTTTATTATTGTCCATTAATGATTTGCTTTCCAGTAGATTTAACGACGGAGTCTTGCCACTTCTTGCCTCATTTATCTGTATCTCAAAGTTAAACGCATTGCTCTTTCCGTTTTGGCCGTTTTAAGGGGTCGTCCCCCCCCCCCACAGTTTGTTTTTATTCAGGTATTACCATATGGAAGCAAAGAGTTAGTCTAAACGTTGTGTACAAGTAATTCCAATGAAAATCAAGTGGTCAGAAAGCATAAACACTGTGGTCTTCGTACACATCTAGCGTTCACCCCTTCATATGCACACGCAGTTGTGGCTATGTTGTTTGCCTTTTGTAATCTCCACGTGCTTCCTCAGTTGTTTTGTTGTGCTCTAAATATTTATTTACTCTTTGGCGGCTACTGTACGTGGTGCCCGGAAATTCATCCACGGATTCAATCACGTGATTGCTTGATGAATACTGAGACAGAATCGTAAAACTATCCCTGTAAGAGGCCGTCAAGGCCCATAGGGTTGTGAGACATCGAGGCTCCCACATTTTCTAGACAGTCGGCTCACAGATGGCAGTGAGGTCAGCTTTACGCTCCGGCCGACCGTTCTTTACCCCCAGGAAGGTTCCTGGTACTCATTTCTGTTGGAAGCTGAGTTGTCTGCAGAGCCATAGTGCGGCTGGAAGGATTAGGTCAATTGAAAAATCCAATCACCTCATCGGGATCGAACCCGCGACCTTGCGGCTTGCAGCGTGTTGCCTCAAGCAACCACGCTACCGCATGCCCCCTCATAAGGAACTAAAGCGACGAATTAGGAACGAGAGTGTGCTAGAATTTGCTGCGGTAATGGGGTTAGGATAGTACACTTTTCCACATCCAAAAATCTAATTGCATCTGGCTGAGGAAAGGGACCAGTGGCCGGCTTTGCAAACTTCGCAGAGAGCTTCAACTTTTCATAAAACGGGATTCATTGACCAGCTGAGCAACTGTTAGCTCCATGGAGAGATAGTGCTCATGTCATGAGAGAAACAGTGCAGGAATGGCATAAGACCAACAGCAGAAATTTTATTCTGATGAAGTACAGGTAAAATTGTCCCCGTCCGTAATTAAAGCACCACGCAGTAAATACGGATGAAGAAATGGAAATGTAGCTCCATATATTCCTTAACAGATGCTCCTTCGGTGGAAGGATCCTCATCCTGTCATAGGCGGGCTTATTAGCCCAATGTTATCATAGTAGTTTATAGAATACTGTAATTCTGATTGCTATTTAAATAACAAATAGAAAGGAATATATTCCTAGTCTCGGCACCAGAGGAGGTGAATGGTAAACCTCATACCTCAGTTGCTTTTCCCCGCGGGAGATTGGAATGGGGCTGGTGGTTGGGGTCCAGACCTGCTGTGGAGCAGAGAAAAATAGCTTCCCACTTGGCGGGAATCTAATCCCGATGTTTTGATGGATTCAGGAAAATGTTTAGCGTTGGATCAAATGTGTTGAAAGTAGGCCAGTTTTATAGAAAAATAATACATGTCTTGAAGTACTCCTATGCAACGACCGCGAGAGCAAAGCCGTTTCTAGGCAGCGGCTCGGTAAACACGTTCCCACAGCAACAGACACGAACGCAATAATGGTAAGCAGCAGGAACGGTATTTTCTGTGTGGTCCGTGCCGAGGGTTTATAAACGATACCATGTTTGGAACTTAATTTCTTGGCGGCGGTCAAACATACGACCGTTCAAGTGACTAGACTGCCGTCGTAGCGGAAGCTACTAGAAATAGGGCATAATCTGCTGTACTGAGCCTGAACTGACAGAGGCCCAGTATAAATTCTACATACATTTTTAAAACATCTTTTACATTATGACAAATGACATACTACTGCAGAAAGTGACTCTGAAAAAAGACAGACCCGTCCTCTCGTCAGAGAGGGCGCCCCACAAAAACAAGACTGTAACTGTCAAGCAGTAATAAATATCTATGGGGCCCGACACCAATACTGAATGACCGACCGACCGACCGACCGTCAGTAACAATGTGACTTTGACTTTGACTTGAACTTAGTTTCTAGTCTCTGAAGAGAAGACGAGGGAACTTAGTTTCTAGTCTCTGAAGAGAAGACGAGGGCGTTGGTGTGTCAGTGATCTGTAAAGTGTAGTCACGAGTCGTGAGTATTTAAGTGGTCAATAAATCGAGAAGCCAATCTTCAGAGTGAAAAAGAATTGCTCGGCCGTGTTTTGAACCGATGCACGAATGCCATTTGTCTGTGGAAGTAGGAAACGCCGCGCGAAGTAAGCACGTCACGTGTGGGTCCCGTTTAATAAGCTTTGCTGAATCATTATATCGACGTACGTGGGTCCAGAGTGAACTTTCACGTACTCCTTGGTCTCAGGGCCAAACTTCTCACACCTTTTTCAGTGGCGACTCAAATCGATTCCCGATAAGGTCACTGAATTTTTCAGTTGACCTAATGCTTCCAGCCGCCCTATGGCCCTGGGGTCGACTAAGCCTCTAACAAAAATGAGTACCAGGAATCTTGGGTTGAGTGGCCTGCGCGTTAGGATGACCTCGCCGGCATCTGTGAGCCGATTGTCTAGAAAATGCGGAAGCCTCGACGTCTCACAACCCGATAGGCCTCCACGGCCTGTTACAGGGATAGCTTTACTTTTGAAGATGATTTTTAGGTTTTTAGGCCCTTGTTACCTGTGTCACAGCCTCATATACCCCGGTATGCGACTTGACGTACTGCCCGTATGTTCGCAATGGATCCGGTGAACACTAATTGGTGTGTATGGGTTTAACAGGGCTTTAGATGGATCTCGCTCGCAGAATAAACGGCATGTGGTCGCACATGAGGGGAGAATGGTGGGCCAGTAGTGTGGTGGGGATACCGCTTACACCTGGCAGGCTGTTTTCCCTTACACAAAGCCACGCAACAGACTGACCTGCTTCGACTCGTGGTCACGTCCTGTGAGCTACTAGTATACACTGCGCTACCTTCACATTGCAACTACGTCTAGTCGATGATAAAGATGTGTACGCAGATCAGAGGCGTTTGTCATTCATATCTTAGTGACTGACCAGGTGTCGGGGGACAACAGCAAAAGAATAGGCCGATCTAAATCGGTTAAAGAATAATATGCTAATTTCTTTGAGGTATGGTGTTGGATTGAGACATATCCCCATCTCAGACTTGCAACGATATTAGTTTGGGTGTGTTATCATCTGCTCATAATGGATTTCAGTACCGCTTGTCGAATAATCAGCTGGTGCGAAGACACATACTGTAGTTAGGCATTGTTCGTATTCTAGGTGATAATACAGTAACATACGAGGTGTGACAAACAACAGGACTGATGCTTTGAAATAGATACGTCACTAAGCAGTAATGGGTGTGCTCATTTTCGATCATCTGCTGACATACCCATTTCGGCGTTTCAGCCCTACCGGGAATCAATGCCGGTTGTCATCCTACCATTCTGTACTGTCATCACCCTGCCCTGAGCGTCATGAAGTGACGAAGAAAATAATGTGTAACAAATGTGATTGTTTTGGAAAACACGATAAAGTTACACGTGGCCAAGTCAGGAGGCTACGGTGAATATTTCAGTATTGGATGGGGGGGGGACAGGAATCGGATTACGAAAAAACAAAGTGGGAATGCCCATTGTCGTGATAAAAATTCCGCTTTTCTAATCAAAGGTTCCGGGTTTTTTCCCGCCGATGAATGAGCCTTAATAAGTGTTACAAACACAGAGTGTGGGTTGGTTCATTGGCTGTTTTTGGGGGGACNTTTTTTTTTTTTTTTTTTTTTTTTTTTTTTTTTTGGTGAAGGAAAAAGTTTGATCAGCATTGTTTTGCCATTTTATATGCTGTTCGCAGGCAGAGAGATTCGTGCCTTTCCCAGCGGAGACTTTGGCGTTTCGTTTCGCTGTTGTGTTGAAAGGCCCAAGTCTCAACACCGGTGATTTTTTCCAAAATGGCCCCTTCTCCCAATAGTCGTGCTGATAGATCCAGGCAGTTTGTTCACCAAATATGTTTGACCAACAAAGTGAACGATCTGACTATAATATTTGATCGTAATCACAGAACTGAATCCCAACGACTGTTTGACAAAAAACTGCATAATCGTTTAGTAACATGACATAACCTCCGCGAATTCATATTGTTGCTACTTTGTATACAAAAACATCGGTCCAGTTATTTGTCTAATCCCCTACTGATCTTTGACGAATACCAAGGTTTTGTTGAAAGTGAAGTCTACAATCATGTTACAGTCGTGAAGTGTGAAGTAAACACTGACGCCCGTGGCAAATAAGGTGCACGCTAATATATGAGCTACACAGCTTCATCACTGCTGCTTGAATAAACGAAAGTATATAGAGACCATATATTTGTGATAATTTGTTTGCAGGTTTTGCTTTATGAACTGTTTGTGTTGAACTAACTTTCTGTAGATAAGTGTAAAGGTTTGTGACGAAAATATGTGATATTGAACCGATACGTATTCCTGTCGATTTACATCGCCTCGGTTTGATTAAAAACACACTGCGTTTCAGAGGCCGGCTTTGCTTCTGTCATCAAGTAGAGGTATGAAACATGTTCTGTTACGTCCAGTGGATGGAAATAACTCCCAGAAAATAACGTTATTCTGTTTTCTTGTTCAATTCTTGACATTCCGGAGTTAAAGTTTTTCGTATAGTGATCCTGAGGTCTGTTAGATTTTCGTTGTGTTGGAGTTGATGCTGTAGTCCACCTCCTGTTATACCACATTGTAATATTTAATTACTTGTGGTTTTTATAGTTGATTTTAGTAGGTTTATCTCATTTTCTCGGAAATTAGCATTTATTCTTGTGTCCCCACCTCTTGTATGGTTTTGGATGTAACTAAAATAGCATCATTGGTTTGAGGTCGTGTGAATAATTTCACAGTT